ATTATAAAGAATTATTCAGTATTATCACTACCATACCACAAATCGTTTCTCATTATCATTAACTACAAGGTAAATTTTGATAGTGAGAAACTACTGAAGTCGCACTGAAGGACTGAAATAAGTGGACTCGCCCATCCCCACACGTTCCCTAACACTACGTCATTTCCTGGATTCTCGCGCATGCTCAGTCTGAGTTTGTCTTGTGGAGTGACCGCAGTTCTTCTTCCGCTGACAGGCYGTTGTCGTACGGTGACCATGTTATCTCATTCCCGGTGTCTCACCAGGAATTTTGGCCGTTCCCTGTCTGCCATCCGTCAGGTAGGCAAGTGAAGAATAAAACACAGTCTCCCCGAGTGAGGGGGTCTCTCGCTGCTTGCGGTCGCGGAAGAAGTCGCAGTTTCTGTGTAGTCAGCTTTACGCGGGCTAGCATTAGCTTTAGCGTTAGCCTGATAGCTACCGTAGGCCACGGTCGTAACATTGTCAGCCAAGGACAGCATGACACTTCCCTACACCTACACAAACATTCCTGCAAACTCGATTTAAGGTTTTACACTATTTTTGCTGGTGTTTGAAGTGAACAGAAAGTAGCTACGCAATGTTCACATACAGTCTTTCATTGCATCTACCCACCAACAATTTGTCTCCCAAATACAATATTAGCTACAAGTACGATCAGATTAGTTAGCTGCTCGTACTAGTTATCTTTATGTTGAGGTCAAGTGTAAGAAAACAAGTAGTGGATGTAATGTAAAGTTTATACAAACTTTAGTTTCACGATTAGCTGCATAGCAAAGTTTAGTTGAGTTGTCAGTTTTGGTTTGAGATCCATTTGCCAATGGTTATTTCTAATTCTAAAGGTGTTTTTAATGTGTTGATCAAGCTCAAAATATGTTCTTGTCCATTTATTTGTGAGGTCGTTATATTTAACTATAACCACCATTTTGATTAATACATTTATCGATCATGTCAAAGGTCATTTAGTAAAAGTGACTTTTGACCATCAGCACTTGACTTCTGGGCATCACCGCCTTTTATATGCAACACTCAGTTCTTATTACGTATTTGACTTGATTAGAAAAAAATCTGCTTAAGTTTAAAATGGTGCTTGCAATAATTTTTGGTTGCAACCCTGTATGATATATATATATA